AATGCTAACACCAGTATTCAACAGTTTAGAAGAAAGACACGTGAATTGTCTTAGTCACATATAGATATGTGGTCTCAAGGAAGATAACGGCAAAAAAAATATTCATTAAAAATGACCCTTTCGATGGAAGCAACGGAAGAAAAACAAACATTCCAAGGCATTTTAACTCAAGCGAAAGTTTACTTGCGCCAATAAATACAGAAATGCACAATTACCTTGGCCGCCAATATGACTATTAAATTAAAAGCTAGTCATAATAGCAAATGAAAATGTAACCAGTGCAATTGTCACGATCTGGGAGGAGTTAACACTTAATGTATAGTAAACACACGGAATAAGGAATGGGCTGTGATACATGATATACATATATATATATATATATATATATAAATATATGTGTGTGTCGGGTGGGTGTAGGTGGGTGGGTTTATGGGTGCGCGTGAGTGCGTGCGAGCGTGTGTGCGTGTGTGTGTGTATGTGTTCGCGCGCGCGTTGTATTTCTAAAACAAGCAACCCAACCCAACGGGCAGCATGCTTCTTCTTAACTCCGTTAGTCCCAGTCAGCTGTTACTTTCACTATCAAGGAGAGTTAAAAGCTTCTTCTCACGGAGTTCACCGCAGACAAAAGCTGGTTACACTAACTATACTGGGCATATAGCGCTAGATGAACATTTTATTAACTTCTTTTTTTATAGATGTGGGAACATCATGCCGGCCGCCTTTACGTCCCCTGAATTTCCTACTATCTATTTAAGGCTGAGTCAACCTGGCAGCCACGGTCTCAGTATTATTATTGTATGCTATAATCTCCCAATGAGATACAGTATAGAGAAAGGAGAAAGTGTGTAGTAAACGAAGTGAGCGTCAGGGCACAGAGAGAAGGATGAGAGAGGTCATGTTCGAAAAAATTAAGTGTCCCTCTCAGTTAGGATTTGAACTCACGACCTTTAGATCCACAGACCAGGGTCTAGCCGCTATACCGCGGCGGGTTGTAGTTATTATCATTCTGCAGCGTTCAGTTGTCAGAACATTTATCGTTCCCATTACCTCAAGCGAGGAATTCAAGTAGCAATGTAATCTATAATTCGTTAGAAGTCGTACAAACATTTATAAATCTAACTCAGTAACCATTCTGTGTAAGTTTTTGAAATTTCAAATACAAAACCATTAATAGTCATCGCCCTATGAGACGTTTAATATAAACGTATGTCAATTATTGTATATTCTTTTTTCGGGGTAAACAAATATTATTAAAATAAAGATCCCCCCCCCCCCCCCCCACTGAACCAAAAAAAAAAAATTTGCCGCTTTAAGAAAACAGCAGCATCTTAGCCATTGTAAATCATAAAAATCTACTTTTTATTTTGTGTTATTTGCGACACATGGAAAACATGCACAAGCAAACAATCAGCGCGCGTACAGTTAACTGAATACTGATTCTTTTCAAAACATCAGATTGCAGGCGTTTAATGAGCTTCACGTTTATGTGGTCATCTCTAGCATTATTTTCCAATGACTTAGAGGAAGACAATTTTTCACTGTATTCGGGATAGGCTATCAAAATAATCATCATACATCGCTGTAAATGTGAACTGATTTTCAGACAATGTCCACGCGTGTGTCAACTACTGTAATTATTTTTTTTAACTGTATGTTCTTTTTTTTTTTTTTTTTTTATTTTTATTTTTTTTTTTTTTTTTTTTAGCGGTTCCTAAATATTTGTTTAACAAAGATCAAAACAAATTCGCCGCTTTCAGAAAACAGCAGCATCTACGCAACTGTAAATTATAAAATCATAAGAATATTGGAAATCTAAGACCACATGGAAAAATTCGTGTTGATCGGCATTCAGGAATTTTCGAGATACTTTTTCTTTTTTCAAGTTTCAGGGCTCGTCTTTTGAGACGCACTGTAGCAATGTAATCTAAATGTGTGGATGTAACCAGTGTAATGAATTGTAAGTAATATTTGATGAGAAGGAGATCTAATGTTTGCTGTTACATTTACAGCACACCCAAGCACTTTCTAGAATGGGTTTACAGTAGATCTCCTGAAGGCAAAAGGTTCTACCATCTGTGTGACGTGGTGCATGCAGTCTCTGAAGACATCATCGACAAGAGACGCAAACATCTAGTTAGTTATGTTGTCTTACTGTTGTTGTTTCATCGCTCTATATTATTTGTCTTATTGTTCCTCTTCTAATCACAATGGGTTTTTTTAAATTCTTGTTTATCTTGTTTTTGTTCTTGTTCTCGTTCTTCTTTTCTTGTTGTTCTTTTTTTCTTCGTCTTTATCTTTTTTTTTAACTTTCTTCTTCTTCTTCTTCTTCTTCTTCTTCTTCTTCTTCTTCTTCTTCTTCTTCTTCTTCTTCTTCTTCTTCTTCTTTTTCTTCTTCTTCTTCTTCTTCTTCTTCTTCTTCTTCTTCTTCTTCTTCTTCTTCTTCTTCTTCTTCTTCTTCTTCTTCTTCTTCTTCTTGTTTTTATTCTTCTTATTCTTCCTCTCCCCCTCCTCCTCCTCCTTCTCTTGCTCCTCTTAATACCTCAGCAAAATGTTATGCTGGAAGAGGTGGGGGAATGGGGATGATACTGAGAAATGTATGCAACTACCGTGTTTCACTTCATTCATTGGTATTAACTGGTATTTACAAGAGAAGAAATTTCATTACATGAAAATATACAAACTGAAATTACTGCTTTACGGACTTACCTTGTTTATACGGACGAGTATCTGACGCTAGGCCAACTTCGTAAACCGTTAGTGCAGCCTGACTATGTTGTATTTAAGGTAGAGATGAGAGACATTATGACTAGCTGTTCTTGGGAACCGTCGGTTGTGTTACCTTAAGATGGTTATGAGGACTGAGCACGCTGGTAATCCAACAGGACACAGCCCAAGTGCCTCATCAGTCTCCGAATAAAAAATAATTAGGTGACCTGTAATTGCTATATATTTTGAGAACAGATGTCTTAGAACAATACCGAATCTCAACTGGACATGTTTCAGATCCAATATGCCATTAAGACAAGAGACCAAGCAAGAGGATGAATCTAATTGTGTAAGAAAGCGCCGCAGGAACTACATCGGCAATGCACTCATAGTAGATGAGACAAGACTTCCCTGTCAAGCTTTCATATGGACACCGGAAAGGACAAGAAAACGGGGAAGATCAAGAGCGACCTTGCATTGAACCATCATCAGGAAAGGCTCAACCAAGGACCTAGTGAACATCCAAGACCTAAATGAGGTGGCAACGAACCACCAGACACTAAGAGCTTTGACCTCTGCCCTTTGCGCTGGGCTAGGCTGTTCTTCTCAGTCTTCCCCTGCCTGTTGCTGTTTCGATTTTCAGGCTGTTCGCTCTTGCTGCTGGCATCGTTGGTTTCATTCTCATTAGATGGTCAAACTATTTCATTCTTTGTTTTTCAACAAACTGGACGATGGGTGTTGTTCCAGCTGTTCTTGTGATCACGTCGTTTCTCACTCGATCTCTTCTGGTTTTATTCACAGCCATTCTCAAACATCTCATCTAACAGGTGTTTATTTTACTTTCGTTTTCTTGTGTCAATGTCCAAGTCTGACACTGGTAACCCAAAGTGGGTATAAATTTGTTTTGTAATTATCTTTTTGTCTCTATTTGGGATAACTGGGTGTTTTTAAAACTGGAGCAAGTTGGAACATGACATTGTTGGCTTGTTGGTTTCTTGTTTCTATCTGTCTGTCTACTTTACCACTGTGTGTAAAGATATCCACACGAAATACTACTACAGTTACCCTGCAGTCCCTTTATATAAAATTAAACTGTCCCTGAGGATTAACATTTTAATTATCAACATACAGGTACAGTAACCCTGAAACACACTGAACCCTAATGAACACAGCAGCTTGAATACTTTATGAATTTGTGTCATGTATGGTAACTCTTGCTCCTAATTTTGTGGAGGAAAAAATCATCGTTGCACATAAATAAGCATAACTTTCAAACCGTAGCTCTGAATAAAAGATATTTAGTTAGTTAGGGGTAAACTAAAAGGCTAAATTTATGAGTACAGATGTGTCCATTGTCCTTATAAAGTATGATATTCTCAATAAATAACAATAAACAAATGTTGATTTTAGCGTAACCAATTAATTTTCATTAAATCTGTAACCAGTCTGTAACTATTGAAAGCATTATTTCCAAAAGATAGCAAATTCATTTTGGAGGTTTAACTAGATGCCAGAAAGCAAGTGCACTTATATACCAATTGTCACCATTATTAAGACATCCAAGCATAACTATGAGTGCAAAGACACAGATTATTAATAGCATATTAATTCCAACATTAAGCTACCAGTGCCAAACATGGACACTATCTAAAGCCCATATACACAAAATCACCACCTGCGAGATGAGGTGCCTGAGAAAAGCAGTCAACCTAACCATCCGAGATCGAGTGAATAATGAAACTATCAGGCAAATTGTGGGAACGACACCTTGTACTAGATTCATCGAGAATCAGCAGATTAAGTGGTTTGGCCATCTTGTTAGAATGCCGCAAGATCAAATACCATCACAAGCGCTACATCTCAGAAGATCAACTACAAGAGCAAGAGGACGGCCGCGGAAAACATGGATCGACAACATTAAAGACACTCTACGCCTTTACGGCATGACAATAGCCAGTGGCAGCCAACGTGCACTGGATCGCAAATTATTTCTCCCCACGGCGCTTAACGGTCGAAGTGGTTTATGATGATGATGATGAACCTCTCCTTAAAGTGCCACTGTTCGGGTTGGATCAAACAGGAGCAAAACCCGGAAACCCTTTTCAGCCTTATGAAACAAATACATTGTGGCTTGCATTCTTTGGAAAATAACCAGCTGTCTAACATGGATGGACACAACAATTAGTATTGGTTACATCATAAATGTATCGATCGGTCGTTCGTTTTGTTTATTTCCTCGGGGTTGCTATCTAAACGTCTATCACGCTCAGATTTCGAACAATCTTAATCTCTATGTCAGACCAACAGGGTAGATCCCAGATACCCCGTGCAACCTCCAAATAAGTTATAATTAGACACATGAAAGAGCTACACCAGCCTTGCCTGTCCTGTGCGGGTAGGTCATTGACATTAGCACTGGTGTTATAAGTCCTATGCGCCTACAAAATAGTTACTAAGTATACCCTTGTGATAAATCTGGAAGAGGTGCAGTATCAAGATCTCAAACATAACGCAGATCTTTCAGCAGATACACATAGGATAAAACTACCATGCAACTTATTAACTTCCGATTAACGCCCGCCTCCTTCCCCCCCCCCCCCCCCCCCACCCTCCTTTTCCCAAATCATCCTAACTAACTTTTTGCCTTTTTTTTTTTTAAGGAAAGCGGCGATGCGACGACGAAAAATGGGCCAAAGAAAATCAAAGACTTTCTGGACACACTTCTGACTGCAGTTGATGAGGATGGTGTCGGGTTGTCTCCGCTGGATATTAGAAATGAAGTGGACACGTTTTTGTTTGCAGGTGATATTTCTCCCTTTAACCACGCTTTCCATGGAAAATTGACATGCTTTTATAACTATTTTGATATCATTGTGTTTAATGTAACACTTCGCACGGCTCGCTAGCTCAGTTAGTTAAACATGACTGCACGGCGATCGGGTGAAGAACTTTTTGTGATCCGAGTTCACGCCACGGTACTTAAAGCCACAGTTCTCCCAGATTTACGGTATCTATCGTAGAATTAAGGCCGAAGGGTTGCGATATCCATAGTAACAAGCCAAAAGGTTAACAACTCATTGTTTCTGGAAATTTAAAAAAAAAAAAAAAAATTTAACACTTTTGGCACCATTCCATTTATTATTTATCCTGTGGTGCCAATATATGTCACATAGTTGCTTGCATTCTTTTTCTCCATTCCCCTCTAGAACTTGAGTTGTGTGTGCACATCCGTTTTATAGATCCGATCTATACAATTATCGTAAATGGAATCCAGTCTAGCAGACTTGACTTCTCTTATCAACTTTCGTCTTAGGGTTTCTTATTTACGTCTTCGTTTCCCCAGTCCCTTAATTGCCCATGTCTGTGTCTTTTTGGTATTTATCGGTACAACTCTTCTTAGAATGTGTTCAATATTTATATATATTATCTGTCATATGGTTAGTTGCGTATCCTTTACAGGACGTTACAGAACCAACCCTAACAGCCCCTAGCTGTTGTGTGGTTTATCTAGGCAAATTTACGTCCAGTAGTTTGCTATTGCCTTCTGGGCGGTCGGCTTTCTTGATACCACTGTCGAAACCAACGCACGGCGCATGGCCCGCAGCTAGGATCAAACCCGGCATCCCGGCATCGACTTAGCCACAGAGCCGACTCTTTGTCATATAGCTGTTGATAATAGTAGTTGCCCAGACACGTGTCTTATTTCTTCACTCCTCTTGAATGAATCCCATTTTATGTTCATTATTTTCCTCAGGCATCCGACTCGTAATTCCAACTTACCGCGATCGAAACCCACTGCTGGTTGCGTGGATTTTTATCACGATATGGGGCGTCGCAGGTCGACCCAGCCTAATATGGGTACCATCATGTACGTGCTGGGGAAGTAAAGACGGCTGGGGTAATGCTGACCACATTACCCACCTAGTGCCGATTGTTCTGTACAAATATTGGTATTGTTCCCATATGCCCGATGCGCCTAAAAGCGTGAAAAGGGATCTTTACTTCACTTTTTTTTAACTTATTTTCCTCAGACATTTGTTTTTTAATGCATTTAACTTTCGTTCCCTGTCTTCAACTTTCTGTGCCCAGCAACTCATTGTTCGTTTGTTCGCTGTGTGGGTTCTGGGGCCTCACTGTAGGGAAACAGAATAGAGTCACTGCTTCCCTAAAAAAAACATCGTAAGAGTTGACTAATTAGGGGCATTCTTCGAAGTGTGAGTAAATCTTTCACAGGGCAAGGACCTAACAGTCTGTGTTTAAAAACACACACACGCACACACACAAGGTAAAGTCTGAACTTTAAAACGGATGCGTACAAAAAAAAACTCATTTCGGGGACAAGACCTAAGTCCACAACTGGACGAACAACCAAAAATTTCCTATGCAGTTAACAGCCGGTGAACGAGAAGTAGAGAAGATTGTTCCCTATACGTTTTACTAGACATTGTAAACATATGATGTCTTCTCTGTTTCTTTTCGTATGGTAATCCATTATACCTCAGTTGTTACTTTAATTCCATTTGTCCCACGACTCTATACTAATTCAGACACATTTTTACGTAACCATTCACACTACTGAAGTAACAGTTGTATTGGACCGAACAAGTTTAGGTGAAGCAGATGCGTCGAAACTAAGAAAATATTAGGAGCTCAGCCCGACCCTCCCCCACCCCATCATTATTTTCCTAGAGGTTCGGTTGCTCACGCCCTGTGTAATTGGGCAATAATTATATTTTTGTTACTTATGTATACTATTTTTATTATTATTATTATTATTATTATTATCATTATTATTTACGGCAGTGAAATTAGGATTTTTCTTGCTCCTCAAGAAAGGAGATGCAAAACTTCCCACATGGGCTGTAAGAGACGCATTCTTGTTACTTTATGGCGAGACAATGTCCCTGGTGAATATGTTCCCAAACGAGCGGGAATGCCAATAATGTACTTTCTATCGATGCAAAGGCGCCTGCGCTGGTCGGGGCTGTCTCTGGCATGGAAGGTGGTTGCATTCCAAAGGATCTTCAGACGGTGGACTGGTAACATGGAAAAGATCAGCAGAAAGACCAAAGCGACATATGCAAAGGCGACCTGAAGGATATCAACAATGACACAGACACTTTGAAGACATCGGCTTACAGAGTGACTCCTTTGTAGGCGGACTGGGATAGAGAAACTGTCGCGGTTGGCAAAAATCCAAACGTATCAAACTATACAGATGTGGCGTATGAAGAGAAACCCGGTGTATCGGCTGTGCTGGAAACTGATGTGGCGTATGAAGAGAAACCCGGTGTATCGGCTGTGCTGGAAACTGATGTGGCGTATGAAGAGAAACCCGGTGTATCGGCTGTGCTGGAAACTGATGTGGCGTATGAGGAGAAACCCGGTGTATCGGCTGTGCTGGAAACTGATGTGGCGTATGAGGAGAAACCCGGTGTATCGGTTGTGCTGGAAACTGATGTGGCGTATGAGGAGAAACCCGGTGTATCGGCTGTGCTGGAAACTGATATGGCGTATGAGGAGAAACCCGGTGTATCGGCTGTGCTGGAAACTGATGTGGCGTATGAAGAGAAACCCGGTGTATCGGCTGTGCTGGAAACTGATGTGGCGTATGAAGAGAAACCCGGTGTATCGGCTGTGCTGGAAACTGATGTGGCGTATGAAGAGAAACCCAGTGTATCGGCTGTGCTGGAAACTGATGTGGCGTATGAAGAGAAACCCGGTGTATCGGCTGTGCTGGAAACTGATGTGGCGTATGAAGAGAAACCCAGTGTATCGGCTGTGCTGGAAACTGATGTGGCGTATGAAGAGAAACCCGGTGTATCGGCTGTGCTGGAAACTGATGTGGCGTATGAAGAGAAACCCAGTGTATCGGCTGTGCTGGAAACTGATGTGGCGTATGAAGAGAAACCCAGTGTATCGGCTGTGCTGGAAACTGATGTGGCGTATGAAGAGAAACCCGGTGTATCGGCTGTGCTGGAAACTGAGCATCTTCGATGCTCAGAGTATTTTATTTTCTTCCTCTCAATAATGTTTAAGTAGAAATCAGATATATGGTGCCAACATCATATGTTCTTATAAAAATTTTTTGTAATGTGGACAATGTCACAGAGACTGTCCCTCCCTCGGCAGATGCTTTTTCCAAAACCAGCGGTACGACGCCATGGTCCGCACGGATTAGCGGCTGTCTACTACCAGTGATAGAGTCTTCTTCTTCTTCTTGTGTTCGCTTTCTGATTGACACCGACAGACAGGTTCTTGTGATAAACTTGACTGTTTTTATGAGTTCCTTTTTAGTCCCATACAACTTTGTGTGCAGTGGTGTCTCTCTGGGCCAGTATTCTCTTCTTAATGGGATGAACAAGGGACAGTCTTGCAGGACATGTTCTGTAGTCTGCACACATAGCCTACAAGGGAACACAGGTGAACTACTTAGACGAAGCCTGTGCATATGCTGGTTAAGTTTGTTATGTCCTGTCCTGGGACGTAGGACAATGACCTGCCAATGCCGGTCAAGTAAGTGGTAGTCATCTCTGACCAGACTCTGTTCACTTCTTATAGCCTGGATGACCCTTTTCTTCTCATAGTATGTTACTGCATTCTCTTCCTGGTCACATTCTGCCCCTTTCTTAGCAAGTTTATCTGCGGTTTCGTTTCCTGGTATACCACAGTGGGATGGCACCCACTAGAGTACAGTACACTTTTGGGCAGCCAGCTTGCCAAGTTTAGATCTTAGGTGAGGGAGTTTGCCACTCTTGAGGGCTTGAAGCACTGATAGCGCATCTGTGAATATGACCACTTGGTGGCAGTCAGAACTGCTGTTGTGTAATATTTCGGCAGCCTGCTCTAGTGCTACGATCTCCGCTGTGTAGTTGGAACAGAATTTACTAGTGGGTATCCATTTTGTGTGGCGGTGGTTGCCTGGGTATGTAATAAAGACTCCAGCACCCCCATTTTTAACCGCACTGGTTGCTGATCCATCTGTGTAAACATGTATCCATGACTGTTCGGGATAGTTTTCGTGAATCATGCTAAGAGCAGCTGTTCGTTTTTGAAGATCATTGGACTCATCTCCAGTTGTGAATCCATTGACCGAAGTCATTATCTGTATTGTATCACTGACTTGCTCCCAAGGTACAGGGTATAGGGTAGGTTTCAGCAGTGTTGTTCTAATAGGTAGATCAGCTTGATACTCTCTTCTAAGTCTTTTTCCTTGATGGACAAAGCTGCTACGTTTGAGACGCCCCAATGCCAGATCATCTAACCTTCCATTCATTGGGTGTGACTGCATACTATTAAACTTCTCCATCTGGATCATAGTTTTAGTGTCTCTTCTATAGGGCAGTGTCTGCATTGCAGTTATTTTCTGCATCTTCAGGATTGGTGCAGTTTTCATGGATCCTGTGATGAGTCTAAGTGCTTGATTTAGGACTCTGTCTAACGATTTTAGATGGGAATTAGCAGCTGTTGACCATGCTGTTGCACCAAACTCCAAGTGGGGTCTTATCGCTCCATTATAAACTTTCTTTGGGGTTTTTCCATTTGCTCCCCATCCTGTACCTGCCAGTTTTCTAAGTAGGCCTAGTCGTCTCCTGGCCTTCCCTTCTACATTTTCTATATGTTTGCTCCATGTGAGCCTTTTATCAAATGTTACTCCAAGATAAGTGGGGAAGCTTTCTTCCTTTAGCAATGATGTTCCTAGGTGAATACTAGCAGCTTTGTCCCTGGGGGAAAGAGAGAAAAGTGTTGTGGATGTTTTTTCTGTGTTGATGGCAACATGCATTTTTCTGCCCATGTCATCAAGAGATCTGCTGCTCGCTGCATTCTTATATTTGCCACTGTGGTGTGTTCATCGGTACACCAGAGTGCCAGATCATCTGCATACAGGGCAGCTTTCACTCCTGTAGGGAGGTCTTTCACCAGATCATTTATATAAACAAGAAGAGAGTTGGAGAGAGATTTCTTCCTGTGGTACTCCTTGCCGAAGTAACACTTTTCTGCTCTGCTGGCCATCAAGACTGACTCTAGTTCTCCTGCTGTGTAAGAAGGATTGGATCCATTTTAGCACGTTTCCTTGGATTCCATTTCTCTTCAGTTTTGCAATGAGACCATCTTTCCAGACTTTGCCAAAAGCTTGTTTAAAGTCAACCCATACCGCCATGACCTTTTTCTTCTCTTGGAAGGCATCCTCTACAGCTTGTGACAGGTAGGTGACTTGGTCTTCTATGCTGTGACATTCCCTAAATCCAGCCTGCTCTGGCACCAAGATCTGCTCAGATTCTAAGTGCCATTTCAGTCTTGAATTTACAGTTCTTTCCAATGTCTTTCCTACACAGCTTGTGAGACTAATTGGGCGATAGCTGGAAGCCTGTGTCTTGATTTTTCCTTTTTTTTTTTAAATAGGTATTGTGATGGCTTCTCTCCATACTTGAGGCACTAAACCTTTCTCCCAGCTGATGTTGAAAATTTCCAGCAGCTTTACTTTAACAGATGAGCTCAGGTTGATCAGCATTTCGTTGCTGATTTCATCTGGACCTGCAGACTTTTTTAACTTAAGCCTGGAGATGGCATTTTGTAGTTCACCCATGGTAAATGGCTCCCTCACAGAGGCAGGAGTATCTGTCTGTCTCTTATTTGTTTGTATTTCTTTCCTTATTTCTCTCTGATGGTCCTCATTAAGGGTCAGGTTGCTTTCAACACTATATGTTCTGGCAAACAAATCTGCAGCTTGTTTTCCTCTGAAGATTTTGTCACCATACTTAGTGTGATTGTTTGTCTAGGAGAGAAACTCTCTTCACTGAGTGATTTGGCTAATCTCCACAGTTTCTTGCCATCTGTATGAAGGTTTAGAGCTGCTGTTTTATTTCTCCAGCTTTTCCGTTTTTCTTCAAGTTTAGTTCTCTGGAACACTGCTACAGCCTTTTTCCATTTGGTGTGGTTGTCAGGTGAAGGTTGGGATTCTGCATCCTTTCTAGCCTGATTCATTGTTTCCTGACATTCCTGGAGTGTGCTGGACCAGTACTGTCTGTAATTGTGTCGACAACCTCTGGGGATTGCTTCTTTTGCAGCTCGAAGAATACTTCTATTGAAATCGTGCACTATAGCACTGATATCCCTATTTTGTACATTGAGAGCAGACAACAATGTGCTTGTCCTGTGTCTGTACAGGCCCCAGTTGGCTTTCTTGTAGTTCCATCTTGTGATGACTGGGCCTGTATTAACTGGTACATTCTGGACAGTAAGAAAAATCGGGCGATGGTCACTCCCCCCCCCCCCCCAGCTGGTCTACCACCTCTCTACTTATCATTCCAGATATATCTGGGGTAGAGAAGACAAGATCTGGGGTTGACGTCTGCCACCTTCTGGAGTAGAAGGTAGGAGTATCTGAGGGGGCATTGATCAGGATCAGGGAGTGGTCATCTTGCTATGTTTCCACCTCTTTACCCCTATTGTCGAGATGGTTATAGCCCCAGCTCTGTGAATGACTGTTGAAGTCTCCAACTGCAAAAAAGTTGGTATTTGGTACCGGCACAGAGCTGAGGCTTAACGGTTTATCATTGGGACAATAGTAGTTGAGATGGATACTATTTTTTACAAGGGTAAGTGATAGAGTAATATTAATAATAATAATAATATTTATTATTATTATGTAGCTTAACAAAACCCAAGTCCCTTGAGCCAGCCCCCCCCCCCCCCCGCCCCAATTGCCTCCAATAATTGCCCAAGGTAGGGCGCTCTCAAACTTTCCTCAAATGCGCAATAATAATATTACTAATAATATCAATTATCATATAACCAATTATTAATAGTATTAATGAAACAAGGCTTTAGCAATCTGAGGCCTTCTTTCCTAAAAAAAATTACTGAGCGGTCTCAAGGGGCTTAGGTCTTGTTTAATTGCACCATAATAATAAAAATTGTTATTATGCAATGAATAGCCCGAAATGAAATAAAGTGAACTGTATATTTTTTAAAAGCTTGAAACACACACACACACACACACACACACACACACACATATATATATATATATATATATATATATATATATATATATATATATATATATATATACATATATATATATATATGCGTTGTGTGTGTGTGTGGTTAAGAATGGGGGGGGGGGGGGGTCCCCAAATGTTACGGCACTTATGATCTCAAGTAAAACGAAAGTAAAGCATACGTAGATCACCTCACATGAATCTCCGTGTTGTAGTGACTAGGCCATTTGCATTGCTCTCCGGTCTGTTCACAATTGCAGTTCCAACAAATATCTCTTAGGATTGTCGCAGAAACCATAAAGATTCTGCTCTGTGCGTCACGCTCGGCAAGCAGTAGCTCGGCTCTCTAGCGTAGTTGGCTAAACCAGATTGCGTGCTGACCGGGTGACGAACTCCTTGTGGTCCGGGTTCACTCCCCGGGGGAAGACAGAAAAGCCACATTTCTCCCAGATTTACAGTATTTACAATGGAATCAAGGCCGAAAGGTTGCGATATCTATAATACCGAGCCTAAGGGTTAACAACTCGTGACTTCAGGATACTACAACAACAACAACAAACAGGCAAGCAGTAAGCTTCTTATGGGGGGGGGGGGTAGACCGGGCCGCAAGGGATACAATCTAGGCAAACCTGCTAATTTCGTGGTAAAACCTTTCCTGTCTTTCACAGGACATGACACAACCACCAGTGGCACGGCCTGGACACTGTACCATCTGTCTCAACACCCGGAATACCAAGAAAAAATCTATGAAGAGGTTGTAGGGATTCTGGACGGGAGAGAGAATATCACCTGGTAGGTAGTGACAGCAGTCAGGGTGTACATCTCACTGTAAATGAGAAAGTACCACTTTTCACACCTTTAGTTATATTTTGTATAAAGTAGAAGAACTTTTTTACCGCGCCTTCAGGCGTATTGGGCAAATATGGCTGGAAATACCTATATTACTTCTCGTCCTTTTTAGGATGAAATGTTTCGTTATTTAAAGCCCTACTCTGGCTTTTGCCAGGGGCCGCAATATAGCCTGGTCATAAATATGTCCTAATGGCTGAACGCGGTTTCTGGGACCTCTCCGCGGTGATCCTCGCCCACATAGTGGCACATTGTGTCATCGGGTGCTTATCGCTTGTGTGGTGTCCTGGTGGGGTAGAAAGTCAGTCAGTCAGTCAGTCACACGTTTAGGCATATTCTGTATATAGTAGAAGAGCTTTTTTACCGTGCCTTCAGGCGTATTGGGCAAATATGGCTGAAACTATATATTATAGAACAATGGCTGTGGGATGTGGGTAACATCACGCCGGCAGCCTTTACTTTCCAGGACTGTATCGGTACCCACTCAAGGCTGTAGCTACAGCGACGTTCCTCCATTTACCCCAAAGTGTCAACTCTGGTACCAAATTCCTAGAGGCTGGGTAAACCCCGGGAACCGCCCGGTTTCGAACACCGACCGTGGCTGCAGAGAGTCGCAGCTGGATTTGAAAGCGAGCCTCTTATCGACTGCGCTAACGCGGTCTGTATGTCAACTGACTGACAGTCTAACAAAGTAGTGTAGCAAAGAACATAATTATTTAATTGACTAATTAAACCAAATAATTTATTTACTGATTTATAAGCCAGTTAATCGACAGAGACTTGCTTTTAAATCCAGCTGGGACTCACTGCAGCCCACGACCGGTGTTCGAAACCGGGCGGTTCCCGGGGATTACCCAGCCTCTAGGAATTGGGTACCAGAGTTGATACTCTGGGTCAGAGGTTCTCAGACTCGGTGCCGCGGCACCCAGGGATGCCACGAGCGTTTGAGAACCGCTGCCCTGCGTAGTAGGTACTAGAGCTTACACACTAGGGTAAGTGGGGGAACGTCGCTGTAGCTACAGAGTTGCGTGCGGACGGCGACACATGCGGACAGTTTCTTATCAGCTGTCCGTACTGGTGGCAGGGCACTTAGGGTTTGTAACCGTGTGCAGTGACACTGGTTCACATCTCCCGACTTTACCTTTACTAAATAAACCAGCAATCTCACTACTTTTTTCACTGACCAACAAACAATCTTACTAATTAATAAGTAAGAAAAAAATAAAGGTCCCTTTTCCACGTATTTAGGGCATATAGGGCAAGACCTATATTTTGTATAGACCAATCGGCAAAAGATAGGTGGTGTGGTCAACATCACGTCGGCCGCCTTTACTTTCCTGGACTGCACTCAAGGCTGGGTCGACCTGGGAGTCAAGGACATTTTGTTGTTGTTGTAAAGTCCGGCTTCGCCTGGGAGCGAGCCCACAACCCTTCGGTCCGCACGCGTCACTAATTATTACATAACCAAAAAAAATGAATGCATTATTTGATTTATTCAAATAATTAACTGAATAACAGACTGATCAGTTAACTAAATAATTAATGAAATGGTATATGCTTCTCGACCGATATATTTACAGACCGACCAATGCTGTATACAATCAGGTTTTGCTGTATTATTGTGGTCTGAACAACGGATCAACATCATGGCACACGGGTAGTAACCCATAAGTGCTCCCTTCTACTTCTAACTCAATCTGAGTCTAAAGAAGCTCAGCGCAGTGCACGAACTCTGTAGCACCGGCGAGGATCCCGAATTACTCTAGGTAGATTTTAAACTCTTCATTTTGCCCGGGCAGCGCCGTAAGGCTACTATTTTCGATTTTTAACTGCCAAGTGATTTTTTTTAACGTGTGCAGCAATGCACACGAGCGTCTGATCTCACTACCCAGAGACCAGGGGAATTACTAGAAGTTCAAGTCCACGTGAAAAAATCCCAGACCTGTAGCACTCAAGGCGGACACCATGCCTCGAGACCAGGCAGCACCCTGCTGTACTAAAAGAAGTTGTAAGTCTCTGCTTCTCACTGTAATTTTTTGTTCCTTAGAATCTCCTCATTCTTCGTTTTCGTCTTTGTTCACCGGCTGTAAGCTCCGACGGAAAGTCCTGGTTGTTCATCCATTTGGACTTCAGCTTTGTGCCATGACCTGAGTTTTGCGTGTGCATCCGTTTTACTGGTTTATTTTTGCGCGGTTGGTTCCTTGCCGCTTCCGCTGATGCACTCAAGCTTCGAAGGAAGCCCCCAATTAGTCGATTCCTACGACATGCATGTTGGGGAGGTCGTGCATTTATTAATAATTTCCCCACAATGGGGCTACGGAACCCACACGGGGATTCCCTCACAGGAAATACAGGTAAGAATCCCAGAAACCGTGTTCAGCAGTTCAGCACTATAGCACCGTTATATAGTAAGCAGTAACCCGTAGTCCAGTATGGGTTGCGTCTGTTTATATGCTTTAATTTAACTGGTACTGCATTTCGTACAAGGCTTTGTTTACATCCCCAATCAATGTTCATGACCAACTTGCAGGGACGATATACACAGCATGGAGTTCACGACCATGTGTATTAAAGAAGGCATCCGGTTGGATACAACTGTTCCCCTCATTCAGAGGGATCTGCTGGAAGATACGGAGATCGTTGGTCATGTCATACCTGCAGGTGTGTATCTTTTTTTTTTTTTAATTTTTCAGTTAAAAATATTTAACGTGTGTCCTTTTTGTTGGTGATATCTAGTAACGCTAAGCTACTTATTTATGTGGAGGATACGATTTCTTTAGATTTTGTGTACCTGTCCACGTTTCCAGGCCGTTGATGAGAGTGACTTTTCTTGCCATGCATGCCTCCTCAGGTCGTTGGAACTCTCCTATGTTGCGGGGCTGTTAGGATATGGCTTGGTTTGGCGTTCGCTCGGCGTATGTAATGTTTGTGGGAGGTTGTGTTGTTGTGAGTCTATTTCAGGCGCCTGTGTACCAGTAAGACGTACTGCAGGGGGGAGCGTCGCAGGCGCGACGATTCTTGGCTACCGAAACTGTGAAGTGTTTTGTATTTTTAAGTTCGTTGTCGGTGGATCCTCCTGTGAGAGAAAGAAAGCACTTACATAGAGCGAAGGAAAAGAAAAATATCGCGGTTTTCATACTCCTGAACCGTCGCGCAGATAGCCGAAATCGAAAATAATCACGCAATCGAGCGGTGAGAAAACGAAAAAAGAGGGAATGGTTAAACTGTGCGCAATAATGAAAACATGACTCCCCAGCAACATAGGAGAGTTCCAGCGACTTAGAAGGCGTTTTTTTTTTTTTTTTGGCAAGGCAAGTCACTCTCATCCTGGATCTGAAATCGTGAAGAGGGCTTATTTTGTTTACATTTTGCAAATATCATAGAACTTAAATCATAAGGCAGCTGTCAGATGTGTCAACACCACCAGTCCCGGACCAGAATTGCCGCTCACTGTTGGCATAAACTGTCAATCAAGGAAGCTGGTATTAAAAGTGCAGTAGTACACAATATTCTCAACGTGATCGGCCACGTGTCATTTGAATGTAGTCAACAGGCACCTCTTGCTCAAGGGGTGGGGGATAGGAGACACATTACACATGATATCCACGGCTCACAGTGTCGTACCAAGCAATCAACCCAGTACCTGAGCGGTGGAAACTTTGCACTCCCGGTCCAGAAAAGAGAAAATTGGATCAGCAAAACCTACCTGGAAACAAATAACGATTTCAGAGCATCAGAGGTCAGCCAGCTATGGCCATTGTGGCCGAAACAAAGCTATACAGTTAGTAAAAATCTGCTTCAGGCCATTACACCTCCGAGAACATAGGACCTACATCCAGATTTCACAAACCAATAGACATTAGATGGATAATGAAGTTAAAATTATGCCGGCTGTCTTTACTTCTCATATTTCTTAGAACCCATTTATAGCTGGGTGGCGCCAGTGTGTCATCGGGGCCCTTACGGAAAGCAATGAATAGTGACATTGCACCCAACCTGGCATGTCGTAAGAAGCGACTAAGGGTAGGGTCTTAACTGTTTCTATCACAAACAACGCAGCATGTGCAACTAGATATTTTTCATATATTCTCAATGTGTTATTATGCATCTAATCTTATGTTCAGTCAGGAACTCTAAAGATCCCTAACTATGCATTTATCTGCTACAGTGCATGTGAATTTAGCCAATGGGGAAGTTGTATCTTTATGAGTTTGGTATCGCCTCTTGTTCTTCCTGAGAGCAAAGACAAAGATCTTCCGGGATTGGAAGAATAGATGACTGGGAGATAGTCCACGACTCACATACCTATGTTGCTACAAGGAAGATGTATGATTTCAAAATGCTGAGTTCGATTTCCTTGTTTTTGCTATACTGCATTAAAATAATTGTAACGTGATTATTTTAAACCCCGAGTCTCTCCCCCACAAAGATAATTTGCTTTAATACCAGGAACTACCGTTTGCATTCACCTCTACAATCTTCACATCAACCCCACGGTGTGGGACAAGCCCAGGCAGTACATGCCGGAGCGATTCCACCCAGACAAGATTCACCAGATGGATCCATTCCAGTACATCCCCTTCTCCGCTGGTAGCAGGTATATGTGGATCGTGTTTGTGTTTGAGCGAGTGTGTGCGTGTTTGTGTGTATGTAAAATAGGAGAACGGTGTCTCTGCGGTGTGTGTGTGTGTGTGTGTGTGTGTGTGTGTGTGTGTGTGTGTATATGTGGGTATGTGTACGTCTCTGAAGTATATGAGTGTGGGTTTCTCTGCAGTATATGTATGTGTGGGTCACTGCAGTATATGTATGTGTGAGTCACTGCAGTATATGTATATGTGGGTCACTGCAGTATATGTATGTGTGGGTCTCTGCAGTATATGTATGTGTGGGTCTCTGCAGTATATGTATGTGTGGATTACTGCAGTATATGTATGTGTGTATCACTGCAGTATATGTATGTGTGGATCACTGCAGTATTTGTATGTGTGGGTCTCTGCAGTATATGTATGTGTGGGTCTCTGCAGTATATGTATGTGTGGATTACTGCAGTATATGTATAAGCGGGTTTCTGCAGTGTCTGGGTATATGTGGATCACTGCAGTATGTGTGTGTGTCGACACATGTGGATGGCTGCAGTATATTATGTCTTAGTATCTGCAGTATATGTATATGTGAAGGTTACTGCAGTATATGTATGTGTATGGGTCATAACAGTTTGTGCACGTGTGAGTCACTGTAGTATATGTATGTGTGGGTCTCTGCAGTGTGAGTTTGTGTGGGTCTATGTCGTATATGTATGTGGGTAGGTCTCTGCATTATATGATTGATTGGGCCTCTACACTATATGTATGTGCGGGTCTCTGCAGTGTATGTATGTGTGGATCTCTGCAATATATGTATGTGATGATCTATGCAGTATATATATGTGTGTGTGGACCTCTGCATTATATGTGTGTGTGCGTGTGTCAATGGATCTCTACAGTATATGTCTGTGTGGGTTTCTAAGGTATGTATATCTATCTGTGTGTGGGTCTCTACAGTATATGTGTGTGCGAGCGCGCGTGTGTGTATGTGTGTGTGTGTGTGTGGGTGGGTCTATAAAGTGTAAGAGTACAGTTCTCCGGAGTATATGTGTGTGTGTCTGTGGATCTCTACTGTATATGTGTGTGTGAGGCTCTGCAGTATATGTGAGTATGGATCTCTACAGTTTATGTATATGTGAGTCTCTGCAGTATATGTGTGTATGGGTCTCTACAGTATATGTGTGTCTCTACAATATATGTATGTGTTGGTCTCTGCAGTATGTATATGTGTTGGTCTCTGCAGTATGTATATGTGTTGGTCTCTGCAGTATACGTATGTGTTGGTCTCTGCGGTATGTGTATGAAGCTCTCTGCAGTATATGTATGTGTTGGTCTATGCAGTATATGTATGTGTTGGTCTCTGCAGTATATGTGTGTGTTGTTCTCTGCAGTATATGTGTGTTGGTCTCTGCAGTATATGTATGTGTTGGTCTATGCATTATATGTGTGTGTTGGTCTCTGCCGTATATGTATGTGTTGGTCTATGCAGTATATGTGTGTGTTGGTCTCTGCAGTATATGTGTGTGTAGCTCTCTGCAGTATATGTATGTGTTGGTCTCTGCAGTATATGTGTGTGTTAGTCTCTGCAGTATATGTATGTGTTGGTCTATGCAGTATATGTATGTGTTGGTCTATGCAGTATGTGTATGTAGCTCTCTGCAGTATATGTGTGTGTTAGTCTCTGCAGTATATGTGTGTGTTGGTCTCTGCAGTATATGTGTGTTGGTCTCTGCAGTATGTGTATGTAGCTTTCTGCAGTATATGTATGTGTTGGTCTCTGCAGTATATGTGTGTTGGTCTATGCAGTATATGTATGTGTTGGTCTCTGCAGTATGTGTGTGTTGGTCTATGCAGTATATGTATGTGTTGGTCTCTACAGTATATGTATGTAACCCACCTGTAACACGTCTTCAACACCGTTTGATCAGCCTTGAGACCTGGAGAATCTTCCCCTGGAGAGTAAACAACCATAACGTATCCATAGTACCCTGTTTAACCTCTTTAGATGGTATAACTTTCACACCCTAAGCGGTTAACAATCCTAGTGTGGCCTTGAGTGCATCTTAGCTTTCAAGAGGAGGCAATTCTAGAAAGTCAGCTTGTGATAGTTAACCTAATATTTATTTTAAGTTACTTCCCTTTGATCATATATCTGACGGTGGCCCAAATAATGATCTTGTCAGACTAGCCATCGCTTTATGGGATGCAATTTCTTTTAAACCCCCACCACGTCTGTGTTCGGGGGCCCTAATATAACCAAACGGTTGAACGGAGTTTCTGGGACCTACCCCGGGTGATCCTTATCCGAATGGTGGTACCTTGTGTCATCAGGTGTTTATCACACGGTGTGATCGCCTGCTGAGGTTGAACATCAATCAAATAAGGATGATCAGAATGTAGTTATATCTTCACATGTAGATGTGCAGGACGTCAACTTGTGGGTGGCTGGGTTTGGTTGGGAGTGGCGGGTGGAAAAAGCTGTCAATGACAAGATTTTGATTAACTAGCATGCCTATACATTCAACGGATCAACATCATGGCACACGGGTGCAACCCATAAGTGCTCAGTTCTTCTTCTAACTCAAGCCTCAATCTGAAGAATCTCAGCGCAACGCACGAACTCTGTTGCACCGGCGAGAATCCTGAAGCACTTCGGATAGATTCTTAACTCCAAATTATGCCTAGGGTTATTGCCGTTAGACTACTCTTTTCGATTTTCAACTGCCAAGGAATTCTGTTACGTGCGCAACAATACACACGGACGTCCGGTCTTACTACCTAGAGACCAGGAAAAATTACTAGACGTCAACGTTAAAAAATCCCAAACTTCACCGGGGCTTGAACCCGGGACCTCTAGCACTTGAGGCGGACACCATGCCTCGAGACCACGTAGCTCCTATCCCGGTATCTAATGATCTCATATTTCTACCATCAGAATAATTGTTGTAACTTTCGTCAGGCGCGCAGCCGTCAATAACTGCTAGTGTATTATTTTTATTATTCGAATTATAATTACCAATATTATTATGTGCGGAATAGCAAATAAATATAATATAATTGAAATATGTAAAGTATCTAAATCATCATCATCAGCATCGGGTGCCTTGCCGACTGGCGTGGGCGATCATGCCTCTCCATAATCCACGATCTCCTGCAGCAAGTATTAGTTTGTGTGCCGACACACCTCAATGCCATGCAACAAGACTGTCAAGAATCTTCTCTCGTTGTCTTCCTCTATCCCTCCTTCCACAAATCTTCTCAGTGGTCCAAATAAATAGCGAAAAAGTTAGCGTCTTTACAGGGAGGGCTAAAGAGATTACTTAGTTCCACTTAGTTACTGTGTGCGTGTGTGGTGAGGGCTGAGCCCTACTCGGAATTATTGGGAAGGGCGGTGGTGGAGGTGGCGGGCGGCGGGCATGGTTGTGGTGAAAGCAGTGGTGCTTGCAGCGTCGGCGGTAGTTGTGGATTTCAAGCTGTACGATAGATATTGCCAATAAGACACCTTTTTTTTTTGGGGGGGGGGGGGGGAGGGGTGCCTAGTTTACCATGTTCTTAGTGCACTTGTATCCATGGCAAGGCGCACACGCCGTCTAGAGGTGACAGGTTCAATTCCCGGCATGGTAACTATAGCTTTCGATTGTTATGTTGTCTAGTGTGTTCTTATATCTTTTTACTTCTTTCTAAGAGTGCCGATCAATGCACTTTATGTTACTTGTTTAATTCATAGTAGTAGTAGTAATGTTGTTCAAGGTCAGTGTTGGAACAGACACATAGCAAACACTGATCGTTCAAGAACAAGAAGAATTTCTGTTACTTCCTTTTATTATGTAACTGACATTTAATTGCGCCAATATTAGTACTTTTTCGTTGTTTTTGTTTCAGAAACTGCATCGGCCAACACTTTGCCATGAATGAAATGAAACTGACTGTTGCCAATATTATCAGAAAGTAAGTGTTTTTGTCTCTAAAAGAGTGTGTGACAATAATTTTTTTTTTTTTTTAAACAGATAGAATGGAATTAGACCTCCTGAACTGCTACTGCCCCAGTGACAAACCGTTAAGTCTCAGCTCTGTGCCGGTGCCAGATACCAACTTTATTGAACTTGAGACTTCAACAGTCATTCACAGAGCTGGGGCTATAACCGTTTTGACAACATATCGTACATGAAGCGTTAAATTAGAGAGCTCTGGGGTAAACTGAAACACACACACTTTATCCTGACTCAAAATCATTTTTTCTTTTTCTTTTAAGCTTCAAACTGGCTTGTGACGTCTCCAAACCTGCACGGCGGTTTCTAACTCCCACACTGAAGACGGAATCTGGTATGATGGTCTACGCCGAGCCCCGGGTCAAGTAGAGAGATGATTGTTCTCTTAGGGGCAATGTTTTACACTCTCAGGCTCTTCCCCACCCCCCACCCTTTGTTTCTCTGCTACCCTCTGGCTTTCTCTCTCTCCCTCTCTCTTCCTCTCTTGATATGTATTTGATACGTATAAATATATTTATGTCTCTCTCTTTCTGCGAGGTATCTATCTATCTATCTATCTATCTATCTATCTATCTATCTATCTATCTATCTATCTATCTATCTATCTATCTATCTATCTATCTATCTATCTATCTATCTATCTATCTATCTATCTATCTATCTATCTATCTATCTATCTATCTATCTATCTATCTATCTATCTATCTATCTATCTATCTATCTATCTATCTATCTATCTGTCTGTCTGTCTATCTGTCTGTCTGTCTGTCTGTCTGTCTGTCTGTCTGTCTGTCTGTCTGTCTGTCTGTCTGTCTGTCTGTCTGTCTGTCTGTCTGTCTGTCTGTCTGTCTGTCTGTCTGTCTGTCTGTCTGTCTGTCTGTCTGTCTGTTCTATTTTTATTACGTTCTAGTTTTTCCCTTTTCATGACGTGTCCAGTGGTGGCAGTGTGCCTTCTTCGAGTGTTGAAAGATATTTGTTGACTTTGATAATGAAGATGATGATGATGCTGATAATGATGATAACGATGACGACGACGACGACAGTGGTGATTATTCTGAAGCAGATCGACACATAATGGCGAAAACTCTGATTTTTACTTTCCTAACAAATGAATAAAGAAAATGTCCACTGAAATTGTTCGCTGTTGTTGCTTTCAGTTCCAACTCCTAATAGATCACTGCACAATATTCATCATCAATCAGCAAGTCCTTCACAGAACGTCACTCTCTTCACGGCACGCCTGAAAGTAACCCTTTCCCTAGCCAGCTTTCCAGCCCCATGTGCTTTCAATGCCAATGCATCCTTAATGTCTTGTATCCATCTTCGCGGTGATCGACCCCTGCCTCGCCTTCCACAAACTGCACCTTCCATCACCGGCTTTTCTAAGCCACCATGACGTTTGATGTGGTCAAAATACTTCAACTTTCGGGACAGGATGCTGTTTATGAGCCAGTTCTCCCAAACTATTATTTAGTTCTAAAAAAAAATTCAAACAGTTTTTCCCTTTCCGTAGGAGTAACATTGCAAGGATGAGAAACAAACAGCTACAAATCACCAGAAGTCAGGTTCAACCGAACACTCATATGGCGCAGTCAAATTTGTTTGATAGCAGCACTGGAGTTACATTTGCTCTAGAAGAACATAGGGCTGATGAGCTGGCTCATCATCATCATATTGCAGGTCCTTTCCAGAATGTCGCTCTCATCACGGTCTGCCTAAAAGAAACTCGGTCTCTCGTCAGATCTCCCACCTCATGAACTTTCATACTCAAGGAGTCACTTATATCCTATGCATATCTTTGTGTCAGTCGGCCCCTGCCCCTGCTTCCTAGTACCATACCTTCTGCTATTATTTTTTCCAATCCGTCGTGGCGCTTGATATGACCAAAATATTTCAGCTTCCGAGACAGGATGCTGTTTATTTGCCAATCTTCCTTGATGTTCATATTTTAAAGATGTCAGTATTTCTCCTTCTCTTTGTCCAAGATATTTTACTCATTCTTAAAATGCATCTTAGCAGGCCACAAAAGGCCAACGGTTCAGAGCCCGTCCCCTTGCGAGGTTAACTCAGATGATACATGCAGTCATCATGTGATTCCAAACTGTTGGCCAGAGTTTTTTAATGAAATACTTTTGTAATTTTTTTTCAAAACGCAATTTCAAACTCTGAAATTTTTAGTATAGTGAATGTTTTTCTAAATATTAATAGAGAACATACATGAATGCAAAACACATAATTATGCCCCTCCCAGTCTCTTTCTTTCCACTTCCTCTCTCTCTCTCTCTCTCTCTCTCGGTCTTTTTCCTGTCTCTTTTTTTAAAAAATCTCTCCCCTTTCCGCTTTCTCTTTGACTCGCTGCCTCTCTCTCTCCCCCCTCTCCCCCCCCCTCTCTCTCTCTCTCTCTCTCTCTCTCTCTCTCTCTCTTTCTCTCTCTAACTCACTCCTAATAAAAATAAATTATTAATAACAATTCATTTATAAAGTAACACAACTAATGGAAAAAAATATACACACATTAGATAAGGACTATTGTAAGAAAGGTCAATGGATTGGCCTTGTGCATAACGGGAACAAAGAAAGAGGTAATCCGACAAAGCCATGAGACTATGAAGTCACTCACTCGCTAGTTTGTGAAACAGTTTCTCCACTAAACCTAGGGATGAAAGACAGAAAGAAACACGCCAACTGGCATCTAGTACTGACGGCGGCCAGCGACAATTTCTTGCCGTCTACATCAAAGGTCCACATCAAAGAAGTTTGCACCGAAGGAAATAGGCTTAGGAGTCGTAATCAAAACAAAACTTCTCTCAGACTGACAGGAAATGCTGCTGACGTCACCAAACCGGGCTTACGGTACAGATGGAGACGGTCTCGGTCGAAATATCAATAAGTAAATAAACTGGCGATAGCTAGCTGGTTGTGTTCTTAGCACGCTTGTTTCCATAGCGAGGCACACACACACCATTCGGAGGTGACAGGTTGGATTGCCGGCAAGGTAAGTATAGCTTTCTGTTGTCTAGTGAGTTCTTTTATCTTTTTAATTCTTTCTACGAGTGCTGGCCAATACAGTGTCTCTTTGTTAATTAAATATATTCACAATATCCAGAATTTTCAAACATCTATAAATGATGGCTATAATCTCTCTCTCTCTCTTTCTCTCTCTCTCTCTCTCTCTCATTCTCTCTCTCTCTCTCTCTCTCTCTTTCTAAACCCCAACTCTCTCCCCCCCTCCCCACATCTCTCTCTCTTTCTCCCCCCACCTCTCTCCCTTCTTCCCACACCTCCCTCTCTTTCTTCCCCCCTCTCTCTTCCTCTCCCCCTCCCCAGATTCTCTCTCTTTCTCTCTCTCTTCCCCCCCCACCTCTCTCTTCCTCCTCTCTTTCCACATCTCTCTCTCCTCTCTCTCTCTCTCTCTCTCTCTCTCTCTCTCTCTCTCTCTCTCTCTCTCATGTGTGCGCGTTTGTCTCTGGCTAGTTTTCCGAATCTTCTGTAATGTAACTGGTCTAGTTTAAGACAATGGTAGACAGATGACAGATTCACTGAGGTATTTGGGCAGGTAGGATAATGTTACCGCACAAGGGACCCGGCTCAGGTTGTTGGTCCATTTTAATTGCGGTAACAAAGGAGACATAAGAGAATGACTCACCGAAGTACACGGTATCAGTGGTGCGGAGTAAGGCGTGGAATACAGAGAGGACTCCAGGTTGCTGGCTGTAAGAAAGGCGCACAAATGGTAGACAAAGGACACATTGGAAAGGGTAAAAAGAGACTATTTTGTTCTACAAATACTATATATGACATCAGAAAATGTATATTTTATGTATTTTCCGATGGTAATGTAGTTCTTACTTGTACCTCTGTTTTAACCGCAGGGTGGTGAATTTATACATGACAAAGCAGATGTGGTTATGGTCCTTTGGGAAAAAGCAACGGAATCAGTAGAGAAACAAGATTATTATGGCCTGGAGAGAATGAGGCCCCTGGGTGTAACCAAAGGGTCCGGCTGGTTCACTACACTCAGAGGAAAGGCAAGACGGATATTTAACCAGACTCTGACCGGTGACATCGCTATTGGAACTCTGCGCTGGCTGCTGAAGATGAGGACGGAGCATGCATGGGAATGCCCCGAATGCTGTGATGTCAATTTTTGACTCAACTCAACAACGCACTACCCAGCGATATAAACTACGTAGAGTATAGGACAGTGAATATGACAGGGTATTTGACAGTATTGTTAGTGTATATCTAATTGTAAAGATCCCTTTTCACACCTTTTAGGCGCATCTGGCATATGGGAAGAGCACCCATATTTTAAAAGACCAATCAGCACTAGGTGGGTACATAATTGTGGTCAGCATTACGCCTGCCGTCTTTATTTCCCCAGGACATACATCCTGCTATCCATTTTAGGCTGGGTCGACCTGCGACTTGGAACACCGCCAACTCTAGATTTATAGCTAAAGATGGCCGTGGTTGGAATTAGGAATCGGAATTAGGCCATAGACGCCTGTTTCTAATTGGGCTTCTTATATGTTTATGTGTGGTGAGTCTTTAAAATATTTCCTTTGTTGAAATTATTGCTTCCTTGAGTTCATTTTCCTTTTCCAGTCTGCTTCTATGCTAGTCTTTGTCTTCTTTCACTTACTGAATTTTTAAAATAGTTAAAACACTTCTATGTTGGTTGTAGGTGTGTGTTCTGACATATACTCTACGTAGTTTGTATCATTAATTAGTGCGTTGTTAAAAATCCAGTGTGGTGATTTATTTGTTGTTGTTGGTGTCGTGTTCTCCGTATTTATGTGAGTTATTAATGTACCTTTGTGATCAGTGTATTCTAGTGTTTCTTTTAGGTGGGTGGCTTCTACAATATAGTGTGTGTTTGGTGCATGTATTCTATTTAACCTAACTTGACTCTTTCAAATTTAGTGTTGGTGTGTTGTGTCGGTATTATTTTGGTGTTTACTTCTTAAAGAGTCCTTTAGTTTATACACTGATATTATGTTGTGTATGGTGTCAAGTTGGTATGGTATGTCTTTTGCAGTTCGTCTTAACTGTGTCCTGATGTCTCTCGCCTTAACAGTTAAAATCCCCTGCTAGTATTATGTTTTGATTTTTGTAATACTGTTTTAATGTTTATTGGACGCTTTTATAAAATCTTGGTTGGTACTCGTATTGGGTGGGGGAGAGGGGGGGGGGTATATTAACTATTGTGTATGACTACCTATTGTTTTTAACTTTTAAGATGCGCAAATTCCCAGGGTTGGGCCACACAATAGTCTCCCACCCCCCCCCCCTCCACCCCAAGCTTTTTTTGTGATTACCAATCCATTCACATATTCTAAATTTACATGATGAATGATACACAGAAG